TGAGGTATTGAATACAATACAACAGATGAATCCTCAGTGATATTCTGAGAAGAAGAAAACTCAAAGAGGGTATGAGAGGTCGGGGAAAAAAAAGAAACATACTTTACAGAAAAATGTAGCTGTATTTATCATATTGGAACCTGCATTGTCATAATTAATTCAGGCAAAGATTGTCACTGGATCCTAAACCATTCAGAGAAAAGTTGTATCTAATAATTATGTCCACGTTTCTTACTAATGGGAAGAAGGAAAATGTACTTTTCCAATGAGAGATTTTGCAGTTGCCATCTTAACCAAGTGGCCAGACTTAGCATCACTTATGGTGGATAGACTCTGTTAAATTACTCAGTGTGAGATACAATTTGTGTACACAACACCACAAAGATAGTACGTTTGCAAAGAAATTTACTACTAATCCAACTAAGCTTCCAATGGTGCTGTCCAATAGAAATATGAGTTGCCATTTTGTCTTTAATGCTAAAACCTCCAATCTGCTGTGTAGTCCACAGTTACTGTACTTCTCTACTTGGAGTCAGTTTAAGACTGATATATACAAGATGTAAGACATTCCCACTATTCTTGTCCTTTTAAAAAAGTCAATGTAAAAAAAAGAGGAGCACTGCTAGATAAAGAGGGACTAAAGAGACATAATCATCAATTATATTATGTGAACTCTGATTCTGTCAGTGCTTAGAAAGAGAGAACCACTTATAAAACAATTCTTGGGAAAATTGAATGTGGGCTGAATATTAGATGATGTCATAATTGCTATTAAAGTTCTTAGATGCGATAATGGTAGGAAAATTTATTTAGTATTTACAACTTACACTTAAATATTTCAGCAAAATATTTACAAATAGTAATATATACTCCATTGTGTAAATAAAAAATCTAGTCAAAATCTAGATGAAGATGAATCTAGGTGAATCATTTGGGAAGCCCTTATATTCTTTAAATTTTTCTGTTCACTTGAAATTTTTCATAGTAAAAAAGTTAAACTCATAACACATAAACAAAAAGACTCCACAGAATCTGTTTTTAAGTGTTTTTAAAAATATGGTAGTTTATATCCTGAAGACAAATATTTAGATATATTTGAGTAAGAAAATTGAGGGTATGTAGAGGGAAATTGTAAAGAAAATTTGTTGATCCTCTCTAAGTCTTCATTTTATTATTGGTACTACCATAACCTATAGACTTTGCTTCAAAGTAGAGATTTTTTTTTTGGTACTGGGAATCGAACTTGGGTCCTTGCGCTTGCGAGGCAGACGGCAGAACCACTGAGCTAAATCCCCAGCAAAGTAGAGATTTTTAAAAGTAGTTCTTATTAAAGTGTGGTCATCACCATTGATTTGAATCTGTTATTAAAACTATCTATTTTTTTTTTTTTTTGGTACCGGGGATCGCATTCTGGACCTTGTGCTTGCGAGGCAGGCGCCAGAACCACTGAGCTAAATCCCCAGCCTAAAGCTATCTATTTTAATGTGGGTTTGTAAAGATACATCTGACTTGGCTAATAGACAATGCTGGGATAATAGCACTATCTGGAGTACCTGTATGTATAAACATCCTCCTTGGCATGATATTTTGTGAGTGACTTGCCTTTGTAAGCTCTGTGTTCCCTGCTGTTGGGGTTAAATGAGGAATCTGGCAGGGGTGAGAGTTCCTATGAGAGCGTATATCCATGCAGTGCAGTAGCTCAGAAGTCCGGGATCACAGCTTACAGTCAGGGTACAGACTTTGTAGTTAAAGTCTTGGCTTTATTCCAATGGTTGGACCTTGGACAAGTCAGCTAACTCTGCTCACTGTTCTGTGGCTTTTGTCATCTGTAAAAGCACAACAAAAAGTGCGCTTTCTTCAGAATTTTTTATGAATTGTGTGTGGTAATATTTTCCTTAGCCACTGCCTGTAATACTGTAAATTCTCCAAAGTAGGATCAGTTTTAGAAAATGAAAAAAATGAAAGAAACAGCCCAGACTTTAAAAACAGTATGAGTATTTTACTCTGTTTCCAGATTCTACAAAACAGGGTAATGACACCACACCTTTACTAGGATAAGGTGGGCCCAAACCTGAAGGTGTTTGTGTTTTCTTGCTGTCACTCCAAAGCCAATATTCTTAAACTCTGGATTTTTTCTTTAGAAGTTTCTTGACCTCATTTTTGTGTAAAAACAGAGAAGGTGAATTTACTGTTTGGACTTGACAATCTCTCCAAAAATAATATAGTTCTTTTCTGAAAGAGTCTTTCTTGAATATTTACAAAAATGAGGTTGGTTTATTATGGTTGCTTTGTTTCTCATTCAGGGTGGCAATTATATACCGTGAAGAGCATGGCTCACTGAGTTTGGTTCTTTTGAAACTAGCCTCACAATCATAGTTGGCCTTTTAATGCCTAAGGACATCTTTCTCACAATTTATAGAACATATTTTTAGGCTATAGCTTTTATAGATTAACTTGTTTTTATAATGGTCTACTTAGGGCTCTATGGCATCTGTTCAGAATTAGACTTGCTCATAAGGGAAGTTGATTACTCTTTTCTTTGGCTGGTTATGCCTAGCATCTATCTGACCAGCATCTATCTGACCACTGATCTCATTAATATCTGGTAGCAGACAGAATATCTACTGCTAGTATTGCTTACATGGCAATTAAAGAGATTTATAGAGGGCACGAATGATTTTCTAGTTAGATTAAAAAGAGGAGACTCTTATCTTAGTATATACTTTTATAGTTATGCATGATGTGTGCCTGTTTATATGTGTGTCTGTATTCATCATAGAAGATTAAAATATTTACCCAAGGGCACAAGGAAGAAACTTTTTAAATAAAAATTCTAATATCAGGTGATAACTAGGAATATAGAATTCTAAGACCTGTGTAAACATTTGTACTCTTTATAAATTAAATCATACTCTTAACCCGTGTTTTCTTTTTGTATCAGGGATCAAACTTGGGACCTTGCACCTGCAAGGCAGGTGGCGTAACCACTGAGCTGAATCCCCAGGAATGTGTTTTTTTAAGTGAATAATATAAACATATTTTTTGTCCTAGTTGTCATTAAAATTTTGTATAATTTTTAAAGTGTTTTGTAATTGCCTTGTTTTTTTTTTTAGTAAAAAGGAGAGGAAGGAAAAGCAGCCATCAGTACATTTACCATAGTGAGCTTTAAATTTCTTTACTATTCGAAATGCTTTGTAAATTGGACATCTCCTCTAGAAGCAAAGTATTTCTTACTTCTCTTTGTTAAATTTATTAGTGCTTATTAATTTTACAAAATATTGGGTTTCAATGTATATAATATATTTTGATCATATCTAGCTCCCTATTACCCTTCTTATACTCCCCAAATCACACGTGTAGGGGAATTTCTTCTGGTATAATATTTTCTTAGAAAAATCTGGTAACGGAGAGGCAAAATGAATTAGTTGGATTCACAGTGATTTATTTTTCAGAGGAATGCTCAGAACCATTTGCAGGTGAATGGAATGTCAATAGCCATTCTTGCTAGACTAGGTTTTAGCATTCTCCTAATTAGTTATTTCAGTAGGGATCTGTTGCCTATAGTAACGTTTCTCCTGATGGACTTTGCCATCTGGATAGAGCAAGCTAGTTATATTTCGTGTAGTCTTTAATGGTCTGAAACCCTGGCAGATTTGAGGTCAAAGTCCCAAGCATTCATTATAAAAGGTAGCAATGGAACATTTGTTACTCTGATTTAGAATATGTCATTATTCTTCTGTGCTGAATAGCTGAAAATCTAGAATCTGAAACTCTTAACGTAAATCTATTTCATTTTTTGTTTGCATGGTGATTATTTAGAAGCCTTTCTTTAATCCCACTGGAAGTAAGACAGGAATTGCATGAATTAGGAGGTTGCTGATGATCTCTAGAGCATAAACTCAGATGAACTTAGGTAAATTATTTATATGACTTGTTCTAGGGACTAGAACCCAGATACTAGTGAAACAATTAAATCTTACATCAGACACTTCATAATTCACTCGTTGCACACTAGAATTTTTTT